CCGAGCACTCTTGGGCCGCCTACTACGCGCACCGGTCGCCGCTGTTTTACTACCGGCCTCCGGCGCCGCTGCCGCCACCCAGCTACTACAGCCTGCCGACCAGCCGGGCTCCGACGCCGGAGCGACGCAGCAAGACGCCGCAGCCGCCGCCGCCGGTGCCCGAGGAGGCGGAGCCGATGCGCCGGCTGGGCCAACGCGGCCGGCAGCGCGACCTGCTGGGCCGGCGCGAGAAGTTCCGGCGCAGCAAGAGCCGCGAGCGCAGCCTGGAGCGGCGCTGGGCGGACCCGTGCGGCCCATGTCCGTGCTGCGAGCCGGCCGACAGCGCCGAGGACGACTGGGCGCCGCCCTGCTGCCACGGCTACCACGGCCGGCCGTGCGGCCACCACGCGCCGCCGCCGCCGCCGCCGCCGCCCATCGACCACCGCTACAGCTACTCGGGTCCGCTGGACTGCTGGCCGCCGCCCTACCCGCCCGTCGACTACCATCGCTGGCTGGCGCCGTACAAGGTGGGCCTGGTGCCGGCGCCGCCGCCCCGTCTGTTCTCCCGCTGCCGGCTGGCCGTTCACCCGCTATTTGACGTGCGCCGGCCGGCCAACTGCCCTCCCCCTCTCGGTCTGGAGATGTCGGTCACTAGGCCAGCTGAACACTGCACTGCGGGCTCGACGTGGATCGAGACCCCCCCCCCCCCCCGTCGTTCAGGGAAGGCTGCGTAAACCGATGTGCGTGCAGCAGTCGGAAGGAAACATGAGTGTTCTCACTCGTTTTATCTCATCTCTGTGTGAATGCCCCGCGTTCAAAGAAACACATCAAAGGGTCTGAAAATAATCCGCCCGGGCTCGTGTTTGACAAGCGAGCCAGCCTCTTCTAAGAGCGCCTCGAACGGTTCGCTGATGCTGTGCGCTGACGGCTGGAGCCAAGCCGAAGGCCAAACCGTGTACGGGCTTCCTCGACAGGAGTTTTTCATGCGAGAGGGCGGCATGGAGGATCGCCAGACTTCGCACCGTTTCACCATGCCAAGGCGCGGGCGGGGCACTTTTTACCGGTGCCGCAGGCGTCTCTGCTCACCGGGCTGTGGGCCTGAGCGGCCGAGTGATGGGGGCGTCAGCTGGTGGAGTGAGAGGCGCAGGTTCGACTCCCTCCGCAGGTAGCTTTCGCCAGCCGCGCGTTGGACGGGAAGTGGCGTCGCCTCGTCCCAGCTGATGCGTGCGTAGATCAACTACCGAACTAAGCGGCAATGGAGCGAGGTACCGGCCGAGCGTCCGACCGCCGCGTCCGATCCCGACCAACTTCACGAGGCCGCGCCTGCTGTGACCAGGCCGCTGGACGACGGCCAGCGGCGGCCGCCGGGGCCTGTCACAGGAGCGGCGCGCATGCGGCCACGCCGCGGAGGCCGCCGACCTAGTGTCGACGCTGGGCTCCTCCGCCACTGGCCGGCGTCGACCCGCGTGTGCCGCCAGCCGCGGGCGGGGATGGTTTGCTCCCGCGACGGCCGGCCGGCCGGCCGGGCCGCACGTGTCGGCCCGTGACGTCGGAGGCCGCTGCCCCCCGCTCAAGCGCGCGGTCCGCCGGCGCTCCGGCGGAGGGGCCGGGGCCGGCTGCCAGCGTGGCGCCGCTGTTGATTCCAGAGGCGGTGAGGTGTCACCCGCCCACGCCACCGACCGAACCGGGACACGGCTGCCTGGGACGGGCCGATGGATGTGCAAAATGTTCTCCGCCATAGTTTTGTCGTGCCGAGACGACTATTACCCTGGGCACGGGCACTGTGATGCCTTGCTCTCACAGACGCGCGCCGGCTTGTGTTTCGGGTCCGGTGACGAGGCGGGGCCCGCGGCGGTGGTGTCACCGGATGAGGTCAGCAGCCGTGCCGTGCCGTGCCGTGCCGTGGCGTGCCGTGCCGGGTCGCACGGCGCCGCTGGGTGACGATCCGTGCCGGTGGCGCCCGGGCGCTGTCGTGTCGTGCGCTCGCGGCCCGGCTGACAGAACACGACACGGCGTCAGCGCCGAGCCGCGTCCGTGCCAGAGACGTCCGGCCGTCAGAGGGACGGGGGCCAACGGGCCGCCGCCTGTCCTGATGCGGCGCCACTATTTCGGGCCGGGCCCGTTCCGCGACCGAGACGAGCGCCGCTGGGGCGGCTCCGAACGCAAACGGACGCCCACTAGCTGTCATCGGGCTGTGGTGTCGGGCGCGAAACCAACGGGCCGAGATGTCGCAGAACTGGTGGGCAGGCTGCGACGGCCACTTGCCAGCGGGCCGACAGTTGTGGAGCAGCAACAGTCTCAGGAGGCTGTTGGCGCTGAAGTGGGAGGCTGACGCACTAAGCTGGTGCTGTCTGGGTGAGAATGCAGCACGCCACACTCAGAATCCACGGTGATCATTAGGGACTCCGCCAAGTTGCTGACTAGTGATATCAGGGCGTCAACGACCGTACTAGCACGCTGAGGTCTGGACAGACCGCTCCGGCACCGCTGGGCCGGCTGCAGTAGCGATAGAAAACCTCAGCGGCCCTGGCGCCAAAGCAGCCACCAGGCGCCAAAGGGAGGAATACGGTCACACTCTGTTGTGGATTGTGAGAGCCACACTTAGTGAAGGGCTTCGACTAGTTGAGTCGCGGATGGACCCTCGTTCCGGCAGAGTGGGCGGCCGCTGCGGGCGGGCGACCGGAGCCCGAGCGCGCTGCCTGGTCGCGGAACCATCCGGCGTGAGCGCGCCGCTCCGATTACTGGCGGCTGGCTCGTGCCGCAGAACGCCGCCCCGCCACTCGTTGTATTCAGTTTCACACCTCACCGTAGCCGACCATTGTTTGTGCCGGCTCGTGCCAGGCAATGCAGTCGTTGTGCTCCGTACTCCGGCTGGTCCCGGCTGGCTGCACAGGCTGGTGCTGACGGCATGGTCTCGAATGCCTCGTCACCAAGCCTGCTGTTCGGGGGCACAGACAGGATCCGGACCAGGTGGCGTCGGCTCGGCCCGCGTCTCCCGCACGGACTGGAGCGTGCCGCCCGGACGGCGGGCGGCGCCTGACCCGGCCCTCGCGCCGGCTGTGCCCTACTGAGGGATGAACGGACGAGACACGAACGGCGGACGGCTCTGATCGGTCGCCAGTTGGAGCAGAGTCTCCGCCGCCTCGGAGCCAACTCACGGCTGTTAGTGAAGCTCTAGGGTCACCTGGTATTTTGTGGGGAAGTGGTTGGCGCGTGGCGTAAAATGCATGATTTAGGAATTTTGAGAGCCTACATCAGGCGCCTCCTCCTGACCAGCTCACAGGCCTAAGTAATGCTCTCCACAGAGCTATCATAACGATAGGTTAGGCGACAGCCTATGTTCCATCACAAAGTCATCCCGTTGTACCGTCGCATCGTACCTGTGTACCCCGGACTGTTATTGGCACGCCAGCTGGAAGTGGTTAGCTGCACCTTGCGAGCTGGTTCAGTTGCGGTCTAAGATCATCCATCTAGTTTACATCGTGTAGTGTTGGTCGCTGAGGGAGTATCTTTGAACCTCGACAAACGATGCGGTGATTAACGCGGCGCGATGCTCAGGAGTATGGGCGTTCAGTTTGGCAGTGGAGTGTACAAACCGTTACGTACATAACAATTTCATACAATTTCGAATTATCTGGGGCTGGAGTGGTAACCACTGTAACAATGGGCTACAACAGTCGGTGCATGTGCAAGAATGTCAGCGTAATCTCCCCCCCCCCCCCCACACATACACATCCCTCTCCTTACAATCCCGGTGGAAAAGACAGACGCTGGCAATCAAGGCGACGAGCGAAGCTGCCGATAATCTCTACCTATTGCTTCAATGCGTCAGGTGAGCAGCCTGTTACGGTAGAGCCCAGGGTACGCCAGTCGACTGTATGACCGCTGTTGGGCGGCAGTCTCCGCGCGGCGTCGGCGTCATCGAGTGCCGTGCCGCCGCAGTCTGGTCCGGGTGGATACCGATGCCGTTCAATACAGCTCCACCGCGCCATTGTGGAGCCGTTCCGCCTCATTGTGCCGGGGCGGGAGGTCGACACGCGCCGCCGCCGGTGAAACGGCGCCGGTGTGGAGCCGCCGCTGGTGGGAAGGGCCGGCCGGCACCTGTAGCACTCTCGCCTCCCGCCCCGCCGCCCGGCCGTCACAGACAATGTGATGTAGAGTGTTGTGTCAGTGACAGCCGGGCCTCCGATGAATGGTGGGATCAGCTGTCTGGGTGTATGCATAATTTGGTGGATCTAGGGGGGGGGGAGGGGGGTTCACGTACCATACCGTGCGACATTTTTGCTGCGTGGGTACATCATGACCAGGTTATCGTAGATAACAGGAAAGTCGCATAAGTAATATACAAGGCTAATTTAATAGACACCGGATAGAAAGACACTTAGATATAGGCACTAGGGATAAACACCCTAGATAGACACTTCTTAACGCTACCTACCAAACGCACTCAGATGTATGCTATGAGCACGCTTTTTGTATTTTATTCCCCACGCTGTTACGCATACCACCACATGCCTTACAACACAGGTGTCACGAATTTGTATTATGTGTCACGCAAAGGTATGTGTATAGTCTACATGTATACGTATACGTGCATATGTATACATATGGGCGTATTACGCAATAGTATATCTTTTTACCTCAAACGTGTCTTGAAATGTCTCTTCAATATTATCGTGCAAGATCCACCTAGATTAGTAATGTCTCATTTAAACGACGATTATAAGCTTATATTATCATGCAATATCTACCTGCAGTAGTGAAGTGTCATTTAAACAACGCATCGTGATTTTTTTGTTGTTTCAACCGATCGTGTAAAATATGTTGGTCGACGCTGCTCTGAAGCTAACGGCTTGTAGCAATACCCATCGAATTTCCTTGCCGCTGGCGCCTGTTTGTCTTCATGCCTATGGTAAGCCGCTATGGCACACAGAGCGGCGTGGTTCGGCCGCCGTGTATGACACGAGACCCGGCGCCGCGCCCATCACACCTCTGACCTGTGCCGGCTGGCCGGTCCCCAGCCGGGCCTCGAGTACGATGAGCGGCTGCAGAAGCTCGAGTCGGACAAGTCGTCCCTGCAGCTGCAGGTGTCCGTGCTCACCGAACAGATCGACGCGCAGACGGAGAAGATCTCCGAGCTGGAGGACCAGCTGCGCACGCGCCAGATGCTGCTCGGCAAGGCCGAGGACAGGCTGCAGAAGGTAATGGTGGCCGTGGGGTAACGCTGCCGTCGCTGGCGCTCTCTCCTGGAACACGCCAACAGCTGATGAGTGGTGGATGGTTGCCCCCATCAGTCTGGGTCCTATCTGTGTCTTCCTGTTCAAATGTCTATTAACACCTGACAGTCTAGCTTTTTTCGGCTCTGGCCCCAGTCGTGGGGCGTGGCTGTCTGTGGACCTTCCTCGATCACCGACCCGCTCCTGTTCCCGCCTCATTCCTGAGGGGTGTAGAGGTCGTGATTGGGAGCGATCGTGGATGTGGACCAGCAGACTTGTGTCGGCGTCCCCTGCCTGTGCATGTGTCGGTGATCGGCCTTGACCCGCTCCGCCGCCGCCAGGACCTGGCCCTGCAGCAGGAGCTGCTGCACCGCTCCTCGTTCGAGACCCAGAAGCTGGAGGTGATGAACAAGATGTCCAACCTGACGCTGCAGCAGAAGACGCTGGAGCGGGAAAACATCGAGCTGCGGAACCGGCTGCGACGAGCCGAGCTGGGCAGCCGCCAGCCGGTCAGTAGCCGCCTTGCCGGGCGTCCGGTCAGTCCTCGCTCGGCCGGGTGTCCGGTCAGTCCCCGCCCGGCCGGACGTCCGGTCAGTCCCCGCTCTGCCGGTCGTCCGGTCAGTACTCGCTCGGCCGGTCGTCCGGTCAGTCCTCGCTCGGCCGGGTGTCCGCTCAGTCCCCGCTCGGCCGGTCGTCCGGTCAGTACTCGCCCGGCCGGTCGTCCGGCCAGTACTCGCCCGGCCGGTCGTCCGGTCAGTACTCGCTCGGCCGGTCGTCCGGTCAGTCCCCGCCCGGCCGGACGCTGCTGCTGCGCTCGGGCCGCGCTGGCGGCGGCTGCGGACTGAACCTGGTCACTGGGCTGCCAGAGCGCCACCTGTCTGGCAGCGGAGGCTGGGCGGGGTTGTGGTGAGGGCGGGCGGGCTGGTGTTTACCTGAGTGAAGTCTTCCCCCCCCCCCCCCTTCCCGCGGTCCATGCCCTGGGATTAGGTCCTCGGTTGTGGACGGGTCCGGAGTCCATGGTTGTGTGTATAAGCCCGCCCACACCCTGCGGACTGGCTGAGAAGCCGCTGCAGATTCCATAGTTTCAGCTGTCGTGGACTGGAGGTGCCACATGTGAGCCCGCAGGCCCACATAGCGTGGGCAAATAAAGCTCAAAAGTGGCATCTCCAGTCGGCAACAGCTAGCGATCGCAGAGTCTGGGGAGAATTCTTCAGCCAGCCTGCCAGGTGCTGAGGGCCTTTAATTCAAGTCGTTTTGGCATCTGCCATTACAGAGCGAGGAGCGGGGTCGGATCCGCGACAAGCCGCCGCTGGTGCCGCGGGGCAGCCTGCCCGCCGCCACCTCCACGCCCAACCACAGCATGCTCGACTCACCGCAGCGACTCAACGTGCGTGATTACCAGCTGGGTCCGGGCGGTGTGGGTCACGTGACGGCGGCGATTAAGGGCGGTGTCGGGTGACGTTTCCGACGCAGTTGCGCTCGCTGCCCGAAGGGGGAGGATGGTGTGCTGTCAAATGTCTTCATTTCGCTCATGGCTGCGGTCGGCCCCCGTGTAGTGCAAATAATCGAACAGCCGTCTGCTGGTGCTTGCAATTGCTGGTGTTCTATGGATCTGCTCCCCAGCCAACACCTCGTCAGCATGTACTACATCGCAGGCCTTACGAAACAGTATCGGCTGTGTCAATTGCGTGAACTGACCGATTTCGTCGTACCTTGTAGTCCTGTAGTTGTATTTTGTGTTTTGTAGTCCTGTCATATCTCACCTACGGTTGTAGTCCTGTAGCTGTAGTCTTGTGTTTTGTAATCCTGTAATACTTCACCTACGGTTGTAGTCCTGTAGTTGTAGTCTTGTGTTTTGTAATCCTGCAATGCTTCACCTACGGTTGTAGTCCTGTAGTTGTAGTCTTGTGTTTGTAGTCCAGTAATGCTTCACCTACGGTTGTAGTACTGTAGTTGTAGTCCTGTGTCTTGTAGTCATTTAATATTTCACCCACGGGGGTTGACAGTCGTCATCGAGCGCCACGGACGGCAGCCGGTACGCCTCGGCACAGGACAACTCGTCTCCGACAGGCATGCACCCCGCCACCTGCCGGGAAGGATCGCTACCAAAGGTGCGACCCGCCTCCGCTACTGACGGCGTGGACGTCTTGTCTCAAAACTTCAACATGCCGTTTATTCACGCCTGTACGCCGCACGTGTTGCCGACACCTGACTGCGCACGGTTACGGTCACGTGGCTTGTGTTATCCCGTGCGGTACCGCCTAGACGCTTTGCACTGTACTGTAACGGATCGTGCCAGCCGTGGCCTCTGATGTCATCTCCGTGGCCGCTGACGTCATTCCCGTCGCTGCAGACGCCGCCGTCGTCGCATCGCCGGCGCGTGGAGTCGCTGGGCGGCACCCTGCCGCGCGCCTCGGCCGCCGCCGACAGTCAGCGGCGTGCGGTCGCCTTCGGTAAACAGCCGACGCGCCGCCTCTGGGAGCGGGTGACGGGAAAGTATAGCTCGTCGACGCCCAATCTAGGTGACGGAGGTGGCGGCGCGCCTCGACGCTGGCCTGCCGAGCTGTGACTGACCTGGCGCGGCCGGCCGGCCCGACTGCGTGACTCTTCGCTTGGCACGGCTGGGCGGCGTCCTGGCCGGTCCGGCGTAGCTGCACATGCACTGAGTCTGCACTCTCTCTCGCACGAGGCTGGAGGATTCTCTGTTTTGTTTGAACGTGTGTGAACTTTTAGACAGGCTTGGATGCCGACCTTGGGCATTTGATTGCGGTAGCTGGCGTGAATGCTGTAAGTATGCAGGTCCGTTCACACCGGCGGACTGGCTGCACAATTCGCCACAAGCTGCTCTGCCAATCTGCAGTTGTGGACCGGAAGTGCCACATTCAAACCCGCCGACCCTCGAAGCGCGAGTAAGAAGAGCTCAAAAGTGTACCTCCAGTCCGCAGCAGCCAAATCCCGCGGGAGCCGGAGCAGATAGTGCGGGTGTTAAGCGTTCATACTTAAGTGCTGCAGACTAGAGAGGTGCCATTTTTGAGCTCTCGTCGCCCCTGATTTGCGAGCTTCCCGGCTGGAATGTGACATTTCTAGTATGCAGCAGCCGACTGGCTGTAAAATCTGCGGCGGATTCTGCAGCTAATAGCGCGAGGTATGAACAGACCGTAAGACCCGTGGATGGTTTTCGCATTGGTTGTGGCACGGATGAAATGTTTAGGTTGCATATTTCTGCTACGAATGCACAAATCTGCGGTGAATGCTGTTAGCATAAGATCCAATTACGGCGATCGTTGTCGCATTTGTTGTGCACATTGGCATGTTTTGACTAACACCTTATTTTGCACGATGTTGTCCTGTGTTTTGCATCCCTGTTAGCGCCTTATTTTGCACGATGTTACTCTTTATTTTGCATCCCTGTGTGTATTACATCAAATAGCGTATGTTTCGCCGTAGTTTTAGTGCTATTGGTTCAGTAACAAGTTTTGTTCGCGCAAGTTGCCTCACAAAAACATTTTTGACTTACGTTCAGTATTTGCAAAATAGTCTTCATGTACACCGTGTCGCGTATATCATTGTTGCGAAATTCCAGCTAAAAAAAAATGCATTTTGGTGTGCGTTCTAACTCGTGTAATGTGGCCCCATCCTCTGTTGCTGCGCTGATCACCTGCAGTAGGTCGCCGCTGGGCCGGATGTTTTTGTTGGCTTGTCCGCTCACGGCGGTTCTGCTTTCAGCCGACTCCGATCAGCCGATCCCGAACAGTCCCACCGATGACGTCACGGGCGGACCACACTCCCCCAGCACGCAGAACAAAAACAAAGGCTTCAAAAAGCTGTTCGGAAGGTAACGCGCCATCGGACATTACTGACCTAGCTCCCGGCATCTGCTCTCCTCCACAGTTCGTGCTACTGGCGATGGAGGAGGTCGTTCTAGAGCCTAGGGAACAGCGCATCAGCAGCATATCAGGCAGTGACGTTCGCCAGTGACCTTTCCGCTTCGGGCTTCCCGCCGGTTTGAGTGGGCATCGATTGGGTACCAGACGCATGTGCTGACATTGGGGGTCGCTGATAGCCTGCGGGCGGACTGACGGCGGCGGCGCTGCGGCGGCTCGCGCTACCGACCGGGCCTGGACAGGTGTCGGCCGTCGTGGCCCCTCCCCCTCCCGCTCTCTGTTCCCAGATGGCCGGAGCATAGTACTGCTGCCACTCACTGACTTGTCATGAGACCGCTACCACCACCGTCGTCCTCTGAATCCAAGTGACGGAAACTCACATGTACTGGAGTAACCGACTTACCGTAAAACCTTCTACCGTCATCGTATTTTCGCCATGTATGAAGACTTCTGATATTTTCTCTGCACCAGGTTGCAGCGTCACCCATACCCCACCCTTGACGCGCCGCCGAGTGTTGCGGGCCGCCGGCCCACGCCCCGTCGTTAGTTGACGTCCATCAGCATCGCCGCCGCCCCGACCTGCGCCCGTGGCCAGGTCTTCCCCCGCCCCGGCCTGTGTTTGTGAGTGACCAGGTCATCCGCCCTGGCGTGTGTCTGTGAATGACGAGGTCATCCCACCATGGCCTACGCCCATGACAGGTCCCCGGCCCCGGCCTACGCCCGTGACCGAGTCCTCCCACCCCGACTGCCCGTGACCAGGTCCTTCCCTGCCCCGGCCTACGCCCGTGACCGAGTCCTCCCACCCCGACCTGTGCCCGTGACCAGGTCCCTCCCCGCCCCGGCCTACGCCCGTGACCGAGTCCTCCCACCCCGACCTGTGCCCGTGACCAGGTCCTTCCCTGCCCCGGCCTACGCCCGTGACCGAGTCCTCCCACCCCGACCTGTGCCCGTGACCAGGTCCCTCCCCGCCCCGGCCTACGCCCGTGACCGAGTCCCCCACCCCGACCTGTGTCCGTGACCAGGTCCTTCCCTGCCCCGGCCTACGCCCGTGACCGAGTCCCCCACCCCGACTTTGCCCGTGACCAGGTCCTTCCCTGCCCCGGCCTACGCCCGTGACCGAATCCCCCACCCCGACTTTGCCCGTGACCAGGTCCTTCCCTGCCCCGGCCTACGCCCGTGACCGAGTCCTCCCACCCCGACCTGTGCCCGTGACCAGGTCCCTCCCTGCCCCGGCCTACGCCCGTGACCGAGTCCCCCACCCCGACCTGTGCCCGTGACCAGGTCCCTCCCTGCCCCGGCCTACGCCCGTGACCGAGTCCTCCCACCCCGACCTGTGCCCGTGACCAGGTCCCTCCCTGCCCCGGCCTACGCCCGTGACCGAGTCTCCCACCCCGACCTGTGCCCGTGACCAGGTCCTTCCCTGCCCCGGCCTACGTCTGTGCCCAGGTCCCTCCCCTTCCACTGCGGCCTGTGCCCGTGACCAATTCCCCCGCCCCGGCCTGTGCCCGTGACCAGCGTCGCTGCGTCGCCAACCGGCTGCCGTGTAGCGGGCGTGTTGCGCCTCACTCCCGCCACCCGCTCCCGGCAGGATGAAGCGCAGCAACTCGGGCGGCCTGGAGCCGGAGATCCCGGACGGCGGCGAGTTCCGGCGCGGCGGCACGCGCGCCACGGCCGGCCCCCGGCTGGGCTGGGGCGGCGAGAGGTCGCGCGACGACGAGTGAGTTGCGCCGGCGGCGGCCGAGCGCGGCCGAGCGCGGCGTCGGCGTGTCTGTGCCTTGGGGCTTACGGTCCGGGTCGACCGCGGGCATCCTGGAACCGTGTGTCATACGCCGAGCCAACAGTGCGCAGAGCTGCGGAGATGCGGCTCCGTTCTCGAGATCCGTTGGAAGGCTAGTGTGCCGCCGCGAGCTGGTTTCCGTCACTACTGGAGCATGGCGTTCTTGGTTTGGCGACCTTGATCAGGCCCACCGCGTGACCGCGTGGCGCCGGGGTGTCGCCCGCCGCCCGCCAGCGACTTTTCGCTCGTCGCGACGGCACGTCCGCCTGCGCCCCCAGCCGCGTCTGGCGACCGCTGGCCGAGTGGGACACGGACACGGTGGTCGGCTGGTTCCACGAGATGGGCCTGAGCGCCTACACCGCGGAGGTGCGCCGCTGGGTCCGCTCTGGCAGCCACCTACTGCGCGCCACCGGCGCCGAGCTTGAGAAGGAGCTCGGCCTCAAGGTACGCGCCGGCGGTGCGGAGTCCGGCCCAGCTGCTCGGCTCGGGGCTGGTCACCAGCTGGGAACGCCCTCCTGATCGCCCATGATGTAGCGTTGAAGCATTTGACCTGGATCGGATGATCCCCTCGTACTATCTGGATGTGTGGGTGTTAGGTTCGGAGGCGCCAGAAAGTCGCATTTGCTGTTTAGTTATTGTCATGTGACGAGATCGCACTGTGTTTAATGGCCAACAGTTGCTGACCTCTTGCGCGTGCGTGCGCGCGTCACCGCAGTGTCCTGCGAGGCATAACGGTGCGATAGTCCACACGCGTCTGCCGCCAGCACCCACCACGCCGTAAATAGACGGCGCTGGCGTTGAGTTTGGGGTCCGTGCCCCTGACCTCGTGCGTCCGCCGCCAGCACCCGCTGCACCGCAAGAAGGTGGTGCTGGCGCTGAGCGCGGCCGGCTCCGCGACCGACGATCCGCCCGGCCACATCGACCACAACTTTGTGATGCGCTGGCTGGACGACGTCGGCCTGCCCCAGTACAAGGATGCCTTCCTGGAGGCGCGCGTCGATGGCCGCGTGCTGAACCAGCTGACGCTGGAGGACCTGCAGACGCTCAAGGTCACGAACCTGCTGCACGCTCTCAGTCTGAAGCGCGGCATTCAGGTGAGGCCCTGAGGACGGCCCCCTCCGACGCCCAGCGGCCCCAGCGTGCCCGGCTTGGCCGCTCCGCTGTCGTGGAGGCTCTGGCTAACGGATGTGTGCGTGACGCCGTGTTCGGATCTCCGTCGCATTCTCTTATCATTGGTATATGCCTGATTTTATTCTGCTGCAGCTGGACTGCTGTCGAATGCGGTAATCGTGGGACTGAATACTTATATTTGTATTTGTATTTGTATTTGTATTTTATTGCTTATATTTGTATGGAACTGCACGCAAATCAATGATTAGAACGAAGACGATAGTGACTGGGATGAGTTGGTACTCATTGAAGAATAGTATTTCTATATTAATTAATCAACAACTCGAGAGGCGCTTCAAGGCCGATATCGAAAGCGCCCACTTATAGTCACGTGTGTGTGTCCCTCGCTTCCTGCCGTGCTGTCGTGACGCAGCCTTGATCACGAGGGGGCGCGCTCGCCCGTCACCGCCAGGTGCTGCGCCTGAACGGCTTCTCGCCGGCCTGCCTGCGGCGGCGCTCGACGCCCGACGAGCCGCGCCAGCCAACGCCGCAGGAGGTGGCGCTCTGGACCAACCACCGCGTCATGGAGTGGCTGCGCGAGGTCGATCTGGCCGAGTACGCGCCCAACATGCGCGGCTCAGGTGTGTGTGCTTCGTCCGGCCGCCCGCCCGTCCGGCCGGCCGGCCGGCCGGCCGGACGTACATCGGCGGACCGAGCCGGACGGGTTACCTGGTGCGGCGCTGCTCGTCACTGTGTGGGTGTGTGGCAGGGCGAAATGTGTGTGTGTGTGTGTGGGGGGGGGGGGGGGCAGTCTGTGTGCTTTGGCTTGTAATAAGTGTTTGCGCGTGGTACCCACTCTGGTGTCAGTTTCGGGGACAACGCGAGCCCCTCTGACTCCTCGGCGTCTGGTGGCCTGTGTGTGTGCGGTGTCTCACTGGCGGCTGCGGGGCGCTGTGACCCTCTGCAGTCCGTAGCCCCGGTTCGCTATCCGCGCGCTGTGAGCCCGTGTTGACTTCGGCAGGGGTGCACGGTGCGCTGCTGGTGTACGAGCCCCGGTTCACCGGCGAGCTGATGGCCTCCGTGCTGTCCATCCCGGCCAACAAGTCGCTGCTTCGGAGACACTTGTTCACTAGGTAAGGCGCCGCACCGGTGCGGGCTGTCTCGTCACAGGAAGACGGCGCAGATTGGGCCGCCGCTGCAGCTGCGAGGCTTTGACTTCAGTCCGTCAGATTCCTTGCCCTCAAATGCAGCATCCCGTTCAGTTCCGACTACTGTATGATGAGGTTCCGGGTCCATTGTTATAAGTCTGGTTCTTACTCCAGTGCGCTGTTCACTCTCGCAGCGGCTGCGAGCTGTCGCGTTCCATGTCTCCCATGACGACGTGTTTGACGGGCAAGCGCGTCTTGGCAGGTTCAACGATCTGGTCGGCTCGGAGATCCTCCGAGAGAAGAGAGAGGTCGAAGACAACCAGACCATCACGCCTCTGCGGACCGACTCGAAAGTCAAGGTGAGCACAACTGTCGGTCATCGAGGCACGGCCTTACCCTGGCGCCAGCGCCGGATGTTAAGTTAAAAGCGCGGGTTGTGCACGAGAGACTCGTTTGTTTCCTGGTCGCACCGGTCCCATCCGTGTCGCCCGCGTGCCAGAGGCGTGCGCGGTCGGTCGCTGAGCTGACGCGGTATCTCCATGCCGAGCAGCTGCACAAGCGGGGCCAGTTCACGCTGAAGCGGCGCAAGGGCAAGGCCGAGTCGGACGGCGACGACTTCCTCTGCCCGGTGGACGTGCAGGGCTCGCCGCTGTCGTCTCCGGACATCGCCAGCGGCCAGGTGGGTGCGCGCGCGCCGCCCCGTCCCGCGCTCTCCGCTGACGGCGGCCGCCGACTCACTGAGGAAGGCGCTTCGCCCGGGCCGTCACCGGCCACGTGCTGCTAGGCTGCCGGTGATGTCTTGCGAAAAGGATGAGTTGGATCATTACTGCGCTTGGTCGAGTTAGCTTTGGCCGCCCTGTTGATCGTGGATTGCAGTGTATATTTTCATTGTAGGGAGAACGGCGGGCTGTGTAAGACTGCTGAAATGTGTCGCGACAGGCCTGTTTGGGAAGTATGGGAGCATTGTCCAGCTGCTATCCAGCCGTAAGGCACGTGACCATAATCAGCCCCACCGTTGAACCCCAGCTGGCTGTGGTGCAGTACGCGCCGGCCGTTCAGGTGTTGTGCCATACCTGGGCACCGAGGCCGGCGCCGAGTGACTGTGCTGGCGGGTGGGGACCGGGGCGCCGGGCTGGCCTCAGCTCGCTTGGTCCGGTGACGCCGCTCTATTTCGTGCCCATGCAGAAGCCAGCGCCATCTTTCGGCCCCGTCGGAGCCAAGCCGTGAACGGTAACCGTGTGGTTCGAGCTGTAGTGTCGGTGTTTGTGGCTTGGGGAGTGTGTTTTGTGCTTGGCGTGGTGCGGTAGTCCATAGTCCCCAGCCATCTATCTGGAGTGCCTTCTGTTGATGTTCCGGCATGGTCAAGAGTGTTACGTTGTCTTGCTGTGGGTCAGGGTTTGGAGGACAGTCTGTGCGTGTCTCCTTTGCTTGGTTTGGTGCGGTCTGTTTTGCAGTGCATGCAACTTCTAGTCATTAGCACCGCAGTCGCTCCCTCCCATTGAAGCGGGTCACCAAGATCACTAGGATACCATGTGGGTCACGCTGGGGCAAATGTTGTGCTGGTAGTTCGGGCTGAGGTAAAGCTATGAGGATACTGTGTCATTCCCGTCGTCAGATTGAGGGCAGGTCAGACTACCGAGCGGGATCGGCTGCGGTCAGGGGTTCGAGCCTCAAGGAAGGCGATCGTGTTTCCCCAATAATGAAGGAAATCCTTGCCATGGGTGGGCGGTCATGACGTTGAATTGCGCGATAAAGATCCCCAGCGCGATTTGGCTAGAATGGAGAAATCTCTGCCGCAGTTTAAAACGTTTGGAAGCGCTTATGGCTTTGCTTCCACATTGCACGCTGCACATCGCTAGGCTACACGAAGTAAGGATTCATGCGGCTAGTACACCCTATATGTGTACAATCCAGTTCCCATCTTTCTGATAGTACGACGTGGTTTGGACGCTCATGGATCTGGGCTGGATCCGGTTTTTGGATGGCTGTTATGTGCATCACACTTTAAGATGTCACATATGCCACTCAGCATTTTGACCTGGCGTTTGGGCATACGTGAGTTGGATGACTGCAGACACACCCTGTCCGATCCCGAGCACACGCTGTCACCCCACGGGCATGGCCAGCACCGGTGACCTGGGGTGTCCTCGCCCACCGTCGATCACTGCCGCACTGTTGTCGGCTGTCCGCTGGGCGTAGCGAGGACAGCGATGGGTGTGGGTGGCGGACTAGCTGGTTTCGCATGATTGTCCCCTCGTGGTGGAAGGCGCGGCGACACGTTAGCGAGTGTGTGCACGACAGTAGATCTTGCAGTGGGCATCCGAGCAGCTTTCTTGGGACACATTGGTCAGCTTTTTAGTAAAGGTTAGAAGCTGATCGAAGCACATACTACCAGAAGCTGAGTAGTAGAAGTGGTAGTAGTAGCCACCAGTTAGAATGCGTTTAGCCCCAGTCTTTATTATGCCTTGCAAGAGCTTTGACGCCATATTCTGTGAAGAATGCGTTGTAACTATCTGCTAGGCTGGTGTCACTTGCATTTCTCACATCTTTCCGTCGCGCTTATGCATTAGGTACATATTTCAATGTCTTATCAAATTACAGCCAAACAAGCATGTATGTTTTCTGAAGTGGTGTAATTTATTTCCTCCGTGTAAGATATTTAAACTGCTTCTAGTACTGGCAACATTGTTCTTTCGCAAAGCAGTGCTTGGGCAATGAAACGTATTTTTAGGCGTATGATGGCGCATTTCAAGTAATTATCCAGTCATCTGTGTATTTTTACCTGATCTTCAGCAATCGCCGAGCATGCCGCTGATAACGACTGCGGTGAGCTCACTCTATAACCGCGCATGAAGTGGTGGCGTTCTTGCTGTGAAGCTGCTCACACGCTAACGCTGTCTCCGGGGGCGCGGGCGGCCGCGTGTGGTACGCCCCGTGCGGCGACAGCGGCCGACTCTGCCGCTTGATCGGCGGCGCCGCTCGGGCTGCCTGACGCGGTCCCCTCTGTTGCAGAACCCGCTGGAGATGTCGCTGGTCGAACTGCGCACCAGCGACGTTTAGCCGCGCGGCGTGCGGGACACCAGTGACGTCATCTGTCACGTCATGGTCGGCGGCAGTGCCTCGGATGCCACGTCGCGATCGCGTGACCTGGGTGACATGTTATAGTCGCCAGTGGCGTCTGATGGTTCGGTGCGTCTGGCACCAGTGGCGCCAGGTGGCGCGTATGACGAGAACCAGTGACGCCAGATTTCGGCATGGTGGGAGCCGTTGCCGTCAAATAACATGTTGCAATCGGAGCCAGTGACGTCACGAATCGATGGTCGTTCCTCGCACACTGCCGACACTCGATGACAGATCGAGTCGCGTGCCTTGAGCGTCTAGAGATGGTGCTTGGGCCGTGTGCCAGCGACGGTGCTGGCTAATCCGCGCGCCGGTGCTGGGGCACCAGTGGTGCCCGATTCCCGAGGTTTTGTTGCTGGGACCGGCGCCGAGCCCGTCCGCCTCGGCTGCCTGGTGGGCAGCGCCTGGTATCCGCCGGAGGTGGGCTGGAGCGCCCGTCTGAGGTCGGCTCTGAACACGGCGGGTGGTGATCGGCGCAGCGGTCGCTTGTCGGGCCTCCGTGATCGGCACAGCGGAGACATGTTGGGCCTCGGTGATCGGCGCAACGATGGCATGTCGGGCCTCGGTGATCGGCGCAGCAATGACATGTCGGGCCTCGGTGATCGGCGCAGCGGTGACATGTCAGGCCTCGTATGATGACGGGATGTCCCTGGCCGCCGGCCGTCGGCCCGGGTCGCGTCAGCAGCTGGGTTTCGGTCGGCGCCTGACCGGGTGGTGGATTGTGGCGCTTTTCGTCAGAAAAGCCCCGCCAATCCGGCTACCGGTGGCCAGCGGGGACGCTTCTCGCCACCGCTGCGAAAAGGCAAGCTGGGGCTGGACGGCGCCTCGTGATCTGTCTGCAGGAGGGCGATGATAATCCGCGGAGAGGATCGTGGTTCGAGGATCACAGTGGTGACAGCGGGACCTCTTTGCCGAGCGATTTCACCCGTAGAACGACTTCCAGTCTTCCCGTATCTGGTACGACGTGTTGTTGCTGTCGTTCTATTCGCGTCACCGTACCAACTCAGAGCGTCCTTGCTTCCGCACTCAACTCGGTCTCTGAAGCCCCAGGAGTGGTTGTCAGTCAGCCTTGTCTCCGACACGGTCTTGTGCCTTCGCCGTATTTACGAGGTCGGCGCGACTCGTATTTTTATACATGTCCTGTACATATGGTCTTCCCGGGTGCTGGGTGGGGCGCCATCGGGCGTGCGCGTGTTTTAGATACGGACGACAATGTGCCCTTTTTACCGTTGAACAATGCTGCGTACAAGACAGTGCCTGAAGCCTGATCATGAGCTGTGGCTGCCCCTGCCGCCGTCAGCTGAGCCTGAACTTGCCGTGCCTCGGCTTGTCCGGGTCAGGTAGCCTTCCACCTGAGCAGCTGCGTTGCGGGCGTCTGAAGATTGCGTTGCCGGCGCGTCGTGCGAAGTCGGGAGTCCGTGTGATTGAGAATGCGAGCCCCGCTCCAGGCACGGTCGCGCGGCCTCGGAGCGTGTGCCAATGTGAGAGCTGATCCAGTCTGGTGCTGTCCGCGGGGCCGTGCCGGGGCCTGTGGGACACCCTGCTGTCGGTGGGTCCGTGTGTGCGCCTAGGAGACCGCCCGGTCAGGAGTTTGGCGGCAGTGTGCGAGCCTGCAGCGATCGCGCGTCAATAAACGCGCGCGCCCACCGGCTCTGCTGATTGGTCGAGCCGTGCGGCGCGCCGCGCGCCAATCACGCGTCTGTTTGCTCACCTAACGAGCGGACCGGATAACCGAGTTACGTGCGGCCCCGGGCGAACCTGGGACTCCCTCCGCGCCAGCGCACCGCCGGCCCGGTGACGTCCCCTGACCCGCGCGCCCCTGCCCCTGCCGCTCCACTCCGTCCCACCCCTCGCCTCCCCCCCCGCGACCAAGTGTCGTACAGGGCTTCTCCCCTCAGCTGCGCATCATCCCCTCACCACACATCCACGACCGACGGAGAGTGGCATGCGGTTTTGTTTTGTCTTGTTTTTGTAACGTATGTAAAGAATATCTCGACAATCCCAACGCAATCAGACCATATGCCGAACGGCACGAATGCCAGAAACTTGCTGTTGTGCTAGATCTGGATCATGATATTTGTTGGTGCTGGAGGGTCTGTTGGCAGTCGCAGCTGTCTCGCGGCGTCCTTGTGCATCAAACAGCACAGCCGCCAGTGTTCATCGTGGTGCAAGAGTCCCAAATGACGCCACATACACAGTTTGGACGTCGACTGCTTGAAAAAGGATGCGACCTACAAACAAGACAAACGCGATTGGGTTGATACGAAAATCGGAGATGTAACCATTTCGACCGTCGATTTTTGGGACAACATCGCGGTTCGCGGGTAGGATAAAGGTGATAAAAAGTTAATCCATTGCTTAGACAAACAAAAGACCCAATCGATGCTTAACGCAGCGCTTTGTTTTTATATGAAGTTAGAACAGAGCGTCATGGTCCCAAAGAGATCGCCTCTGTTCGTCGACCACGCAATCCCGTTGAAGTAATACGCGTTCTAACTGTACTGACATGCTGTCCATCCGGACATGAGGGTTCGTTTGTCCGGCCCTGGCAGCGGCCCGGCCCAGTGCCGGATCGGAGTGGCGCTGCCCCGTCCCCTCGGCCGCCGCTGGTCAGGACACTGGCCCCCATCCCCAGCCGGCCGTGGGCACGCCGGCCGAGACAAATGATCGCCGCCGATGCGGGCGGGGGCATCGCCCGTGAGGTGGCCTCGGCCAAACGCGGCCACAGCCTCGACGTCGAGGACGGACATCCGATGTGATGTAACTGAATATTGTTGCGCATATGATGGCAGCACGGAGTGACGACATGGGCATGGCGGCAGATGCCTCAGAGCGCCTGAGGACGTCGCGACCTGATTTGAAGTTGTTTACGTTCTAGTGCAATCAAGGTGCTCCATTTTATATATACATACACACACACACACATACACACACACACACACACACACACACACACACACACACACACACACACACACACACACACACACACACATATATATATATATATATATATATATATATATATATATATATATATATATATATAATACCCGTCAGAACAATATCAACTGTGCTTCCTTTGTTTTAGTTTTGAGACGGCTCATCAATGATTTAAATTGGTCAGGTTCACTTAAGTTTGATTGGCATGAATTTTATAAGCAATTCATTCCTTAGCGACGACGAAAATTTCATTGATTCCGAAGTCGCCACCGGCTCCACTCGGAATGTAAAACACAGGCTTGTCCGTGATGCATGCCTGACATGATGTTCCCCAGAGCCTGAGGGCCGCTGGAGCCTCTGTTCGTGTTTTTATCTGATTGCCGCCCGCGGCCGACCACCAGCGGAACGCCAGGAGAGCCGGCTAGCCCCCGGCCGTCGCCGGGCCATTACAACGCTGGCCGGCGGTCAGCTGACGACGGTCGGGAGAGAGTCTTATGACGCCCTCCGCAGCCGGACTCTGCCCCTCCGCGAGTCAGCAGGAGCCGGCGGCTGGCGGAGGACGGGTTGCGATGCCGTCCCGGCCGCGGCCAGCTTGCACCGCCGGCGGCCTCCGTCAGTCGGGCGGCCGCCGGCTCGCTCGCGGCTCCCACGGTCTCGCCGTTCCCACCGCCAGCCGGCCCGAAGCGGCGGGTCGGTCCGCGGGCGGGCGGGCGGGCGGCGCGCCCCGCGTTCCCAGGCGCGGCGCGGCCGGAGCAGGTGGCCGGCCATTGTTGTGGCGCCGCCGCCGCCGCCGGCGCACCAGGCGCGCCCAGCCGCGCCTTCTGCACTCCGTCAACCAGCGATTACGGCGCGGGGAGCGGCCGCGGGCCGGCGCGCCGCGGAGGGACGGCCGCCGACGCCGGGGAGAGACCGGCGGTGTCTGCAGCGCTTCGGCAGAGTCGGCCGGGGAGCATGACTGCGGGGGACGGCGCAGCGCTTAGCACCAGGCCCTCTCTTCCGCCCGGCTTTACCCGCCGTCCGCGGCAGACCAACGTGAGAGATTCTCGACTTAAAGTTCTCCAGATTGGGCGCTAAACGACCTGGCTCTTATGATGAACGGCACCCGCGCCGACCCGCGGCGGAGAGCGGCTCGGCCGTCGCAGCAGGCCGCGTGCGCCGGAGGTCGGAGTTCGAGATGAAAACGCAGCTCACGGTGGAACCTTGCCGGTCTCTAGGGGCGCGCTGGCCGCATAGCAATCGGCCCCGCGCCAAAAGCGCGCGGCAGTTGCGTCACGTCCTCTCACGCCATTCAGCATAACATTTACGGTGGCGGCGCCGCATAAATTTTTAATTAAGCCCCGGCGCGGTCCGATCCCCTCCTGCTCTGGCCCTATGTAATCGACGTAATTGGGTTCCGATGAGACAAGCCACCGTCGGATGTTATCCGGTCCCCTCCCGTCCTGACGGCGGCCTCCCAGCGCCAGGCGCGATCAATTTACCGTACAATAATTTATGAGATGAGAATAATGCTTCAGATGAGCCGTGCGTTCTGGAGATCATGCATCATGCCTGCTGTGCTCCATTCATTCATGTGATGTTGGAGAGGCCCACGGGAAAAGATGACTTGTCATGTCCAAAAGATGATTCTAAAAGTAACGTTGTGTATCGGTTATCTCTTAACCATTCTATCACATATACGCCTGCACTGTCTGTTGTGTCGACTCACACGTTGTTCTTAATTGGGCGCGAGCTGTTGCGTTATTTTTGCTCGTTTCTCTGTTGCGCGCTACTTATCAGCATCATACCTAAATATAGTTAGCAATCGCTCAATACCTCAAGAGTTTCTCCCACCCTCACGATCAGCGTAATATCCACCCGCATACTTTTACTTTTCCGCTGGTTTGTGGCACTGGTGAATTGTGTACCTCAGTTGGATTGGCTTGTTTCTATTGTGAAACCTTGGGAACACAGGTAACTTTCTAGTCGTGGACAAGAGGGGCCTTCCATGCCCCTTTCGTCGGTCTGGCCGACCTCACTTAAATAAATGTGTTCTCGTCGTCTGAACGACGTCATTTTTGCCAAGTATCAGCCCTGAAAATGGCTACTGAGAAGAAGCTGGCAGGGCTATTATTTGATGCGGACGTGGAGGGTTAGCATCTTCAACGCTCTACAGATGAGAAAATGCTCTTATTTTGAGTATGTTTAACGCTGTGTAGTACACAACTATTTATTTTAGCGCCATTTCGATTCATGTGTTTTTTGTCATTCATCTGAATGCCTGCTGTGGTCGCCCAACGTTCATCTGGACACTGCGGTGTGGTCTCCTGCTCTGGACGCTGGTGTGGTCCCCTGCTCTGGGCGTGGTGTGATCCCCTGTCCCGGACGCTGGTGCGGTCCCCTGTCCTGGATGTTGTCCAAGTCCGTGCTGTCCCTGTCCTGAATATCGCCCAGGTCCGTGGGATCCCCTGTCCTGGATGTTGCCCAGGTCCGTGCGCTTCCCTGTCCTGGATATTGCCCAGCTCCGTGCGCTCCCCGTCCTGGATGTTGGCCGGGTCCGTGCGGTCCCTTCTCCTGGATGTTGGCCGGGTCCGTGCGGCCCGCCCGGTCCGTTGGTGTTCAGCCGCCATCGCCCAATTGCTGCCTCCCAGCGGGGCCGTAATCCGTTTAGCAGCTCGCCGGTCCGCGTCGTCCCCGTGTTTAGCCTGTATTGACTTTTGCCGGGAACAAAGGAGGCGCGGCGAATGCCACTGGCGCCGATTGCTTCACGCTGTGGAGGCCGGCGCCGGCTGCGTCAGGCTGGCCCTGCCCGGTAGGGGACGGCACCTCCCACAGAGTCTCCCTTGAAGAGGACGGTGCCGTCGACCGGCCCCGCCGTTCAGAGGAAAATGACTCCTGGCAGTCGACATAGCGGCCAACTGTCCGCACGGCGCACAGGATCTTCTTTGCGCAAGGCGCTGCACCGAACCTGTCTGCTTCAGTGGGGCGTCTGCTCCAGAGGACGGTCGGAAGCCGAAAGCACGCGCCCGGCCCGTCAGCCCACACGCCCCTCGCCCTGAGGCCAGTTTCGGCCGGCGCGGCGCGCGGTTGGCCGGCGGACGATCGTTGGGGAGGCGCGATATCGGCGCGCCTGAAACGTCAGTGATCGCGGACAGCGCCGTCCCGTCCCCCAGCGCCCGAGCCGCCGGCAAGCGGACGGCCGGGCGGCGGCGGCGGCGGCGGCGGCGGCGGCGGCGGCGGCGGCGGCGGCGGCGGCGGCGGCGGCGGCGGCAGCGGCGGCGGCGGCGGCGGCGGCGGCGGCAGTCGGCCGAGCGCGGCGTCTTTCGACCGACGCGTCTGAATAATGAGGGAGATATGAGAGGCGACACCCAGTGCGGCTTGAGCGATGGGGCCGCGAACTGCGTGTGACGTGGGGGAAAACACAAGTACCTGGCGGGGGTGTGGTGTGCGAGGCTGACTGACGCCTGCGCTCCTCGATCCGGGACTCCGTGCGACGCCCGCTGCTGAATGCGGAACTTTCTCTTGGGGCGGGGCCCGCGCTGTCAGCGGCGAGTCGAGGCGAGCGGCCTGAGGTGAAGTCTGGCCTTGCACATGTGTTGTGCATCACTTG